TTTGGCGGACAACCCCAGCCCAATGTGAGTGAACTGGTGGTGGGGCCACTGCCTCACCCCTCCTACATGCGGGATGTGACTGTGGAGCGTCATGGTGGTCCACTGCCCTATCACCGACGTCCCATGCTGAGATCTGAATTGGTACAGACATGGAGGCATTTGAAAGAGGTGGAACTACCCAAGGCACCTGTCTTCCTGGCTTCTGTCCTGAACTACAATGGCTCCACTTTGGCACCTCTACATTCCTCCCCTAGAGGTTTGCGCTCAGGGGACCGGGCTACCTGGATTGCCCTCTATCATAATGTCTCAGGTCTTGGTATTTTCCTTCACCCTGTGGGGCTGGAAATACTGTTGGATCACAGTGCCCTGGACCCTGCCCGCTGGACTGTCCAGCAGGTCTTCTACCTTGGGCACTACTATGCAGACTTGGGCCAATTAGAATGGGAGTTTAAAGCTGGCCGGCTAGAAGTGGTTAGAGTGCCTCTACCCACACCAAATGGGTCTTCATCCCTCAGGTCCCGAATCACCCTGGGCCCTCTTCCCCCTCTTCATTTCTCACACCAGGGTTCTCAGTACAGTGTACAAGGGAACTTGGTGGTATCCCCCCTCTGGACATTGAGCTTTGGCCATGGGGTATTTAGTGGCATAAGGATTTTTGATGTTCGGTTCAAGGGTGAGCGAGTGGCCTATGAAGTCAGTGTCCAGGAGTGCCTGTCTGTCTATGGTGCTGACTCACCCAAGACAATGATGACCCGATATTTGGATAGCAGCTATGGACTTGGCCTTAACAGCCGAGGCTTAGTACGGGGTGTGGACTGCCCCTATCAAGCCACAATGGTGGACATCCACATATTAGCAGGCAAAGGGACAGTCCAGCTGCTCCCAGGGGCAGTGTGTGTATTTGAGGAGGTTCAGGGACTACCTCTTCGAAGGCACCACAATTACATTGAGAGTCATTTCTATGGTGGTTTGGCCAGCTCAGCCCTTGTGGTCAGGTCTGTGTCATCTGTGGGTAACTATGACTACATTTGGGACTTTGTGTTGCACCCAAATGGGGCGCTTGAAGGGCGGGTCCATGCCACAGGCTATGTCAACACAGCTTTCCTGAGTGGAGGAGCAGAGAGCCTCCTCTTTGGTAATCGTGTAGGGGAACGGGTGCTGGGGGCGGTGCACACGCACGCCTTCCACTTCAAGCTGGACCTGGATGTGGCAGGTGAGTATTCAGGGTGTGAAAATTGAGGGGTGGGGTTAGGGGAGGGGAGGGAATCCCTTAGGTTAAGCTGAGGTCTCTGAACAGCAAGGCAACTATGCCAACTCCACAGTGATTATGGAAGGGGAGAACCTGGACTGTGAGTGTAGTCAGCTAGTCCACATCCGGGCTTCTGGGTATCTGGCCAAAGGTGTAAAGGGTTCTTCCACCCAGCCCCAACCTCCAAGACCAGCAGCAGTTGTGAAATTAGTTTAAATGTAATGTCTGCCTGGCTGCCTTAGCCTTGGGTGACACCTTGGGAGAGTGAATTAGCCCTGTCAGTTTGGATGGGGCTGGAGTTATGCACTTTGCTACTTGCTCAGTAATATTGAGAGTGAGTGGGGGTGGGGAGGACAGAGTTGAGCATAGGCAGAAAGCAACCTGGGGCTTGGAGGACAGGGTCTTATACTAGGGGTTTCTCCACAGTGCTAACTGGCCTTGTGGGGAGGGCTGCCCCATACGTGTCATCACAATGAACTAACTTTCCAGAGATGAGTCAGATATGTGATAGGCTTGCTGCAAGTGTAGAAAGGAATTCTTAAAGAAGACTTGCTGCTCTTGACAGATCTTTCAAGGACAGAAAGCAAACTTGTCAAATCACAGACTTAGACCCAGAAAGAAAATTAGATATCTACCAGCCCCTCCTCATTTTATAGTTGGGGAAATTAAGGAGGATGGGGCAGGAAGTGTCTGCTCAAGAATAATGCAGTAATAACTAAGTATTTCTTGTGAAACATTAGCCTCCTAAGTACAAAATCTGTACCCTGCATGCAATACAGGCTTGTGCTTGAGTTTGTGGAGGGGTGATGGGAGGAAAAACTCAAACCAAAACACATCTGAAATAATCATATTAGCTAGATTACTCTGACATAATTGGACTATGACTTTTCCAATTGGAAGTTTCACTTCAGTGTTTTTGGCATTAAAGAGCCTAATTTTGGGAAGTCAATTCAGGTAATGTTAATGTTGAGTTGCTAGTGTGTGCAGCCCAGCTGCTGCTGTGGGACCAGAAGTTGGTAGTTAGGTGCCAGCACAGAACTGCAGCTGGCAGAGGTGCTAGCCCCAGTGGAGTGCTTCACTGTCAGGTACCTTCCATAGGTCACATTTAAAGGAACTAACAGTCTCAACCTGAAGAGAGGGTGATCAAATACTGCATTGGGCAATGCAGGCTGTGGGTGCAATAGAATTCCAAGGCACTCCCAAACAAAAGACAAATCTGGCCGGGCATGGTGGCTCATGTCTATAATCCAAGTAACTTGGGAGGCTGAGGCAGGAGGGTCACAAGTCAAGGCTAGCCTGGGCAACTGAGTGAGACTGTCAAAATAACAAGAGCCATGGATGTAGCTTGGTGTGGTAGAGTGTCCCTAAATTCCATCCCTAGTACTGCAAGGAAAAAGAAAGAGTTACAAATCTGCTGGTTTTGAAAATGATCGGAAGCTTTCCCTACCTTGCTGGTAAAAAGCAGTCACAGAGCTTGGAGATCTGGGACTGTGGAAGGGGATTGAGTTTTCCTAACTAGTTTCTCCAAGACCGATTCCTTTCATAGTTAAAAGAATGTTACTACCCAGTTGCATGTGCTTTTCCATTTACTGGAAAAATAGCAATAAAACTGCTTTGATTATGCCTAGGGTAGAGATTCAGAAAGAATCAGAGAAGCAAATATTCTTCTGTATAAGATCTACTGGTGAGCTAATGGAACTTTCTGCGATGCTGGAAATGTTTGTTATCTGTGCTGTCATTATATACAAGAGCTGCTAGCCATATGTGGCTACCAAACAATGTAAATGCAGCCACTGCATCCAAGGAACTGAATTTTCAATTTAAAAAGCCACATGAGAATAGTGGTTATCCTACTGGACAGGGCAAGTTAGAAGATGGTGGGGTAACACTGTGCTAGCACAGGGTGGTACTCTCTGATGTCAGGCCAGTGCAGTTAGCATTGTGGGGAAGATGGGCCTGTCCAAACCACCTTACTTGGTATAGAACTCCTTTCCCTTCCCTCACCCTGACAGGGCTGAAAAACTGGGTGGTAGCAGAAGACGTGGTGTTTAAACCTGTTGCAGTCCCCTGGAGCCCAGAGCACCAGCTGCAGCGGCCACAGCTGACACGGCAGGTCCTGAGAAGGGAGGATTTGGCAGCATTTTCCTGGGGAAGCCCCCTTCCCCGCTACCTTTACCTGGCCAGCAACCAGACTAATGCCTGGGGTCATCAGCGTGGATACCGAATCCAGATCCACAGCCCCCCTGGCATACACATGCCCCTGGAGAGCAGCATGGAGAGGGCTCTCAGCTGGGGGAGGTGAGGAGGGCCCTGGGCAGTGGGTGGTAGGGAAGGACTGGCCCTAACTCACTACCCATGGCCTACCATTTATCCCTGGACCTGCCCTCAGATCCAAGTAGAAATGGGGTGGGAAGTGGACTCTCAGAATGTGATCCAAAGGACTTGTGGGCTAGTAATGGCTCTTGATATTTTCCAACACCACCTTCCTATGACAATTCCTGGTCAGATACCAGCTTGTGGTGACCCAGAGGAAGGAGAAGGAATCACAGAGCAGCAGCATCTATTTCCAGTCTGACATCTGGACACCCTCAGTTGTCTTCGCTGACTTCATCAACAACGAAACCCTCTTAGGAGAGGTTGGTAGCTGTAGGTTCAGGAGGGCTGCTCCTCTATGCCTGTATCTTGGCTGCCCAGCCTTTAGCCATAGGTTAGAGGGAATGGTTTCCATTTCTGATTTGGGGGCCAAGGAGTTTTCTGTTGACCAAAGTGGGTCATCCCTCCTAGGGTGAGATTAGCCATGGGACACTGCCCACTTTCCAGCTGCTGGGCAGAGGTGTAAAACAGCCTGAGGGAGTTGTGACTGAGGGGTGGTTCTTTGGGTTTTGCCTCCAAAGTCCTCCAGCTCTTCCTTTTTCCTGCAGGATCTGGTGGCTTGGGTTACAGCCAGCTTCCTGCACATTCCCCATGCTGAGGATGTCCCCAATACGGTGACTTTGGGGAACAGAGTTGGCTTCTTGCTCCAACCTCATAACTTCTTTGATGAAGACCCCTCCATCTTCTCCCCTGGCAGTGTCTACTTTGAGAGGGGCCAGGATGCTGGGCTCTGCAGTATCAACCCTGTGGCCTGCACCCCCAACTTGGCAGCCTGTGTCCCAGACCTTCCCCTTTTTTCTTATCAAGGTTTCTAGATCTGAGAGTAGGGGGGAACATAGGGGGTAGGGGTAGGGAGCAGCATCTGATGAGACACTTGCCTTCTCCATTCCCCCTTCAGTTCTCTGTATTTTTATCACATTGCTCCTCAGACTCTTTACCCTCCGTACTCCTTAGGGAATATCCTCCTCCCAAGCTATAAAATCTCCATGTGTCACTTTGGTTAATTCTTACTGTCTGCTCATTTTTTAAATGACAAATTTATAAAAACAATTTTGAAATATTCAAGCAAAAACACCACAAATCCCACCACTCAGAATTAGCTGATGTTTGCATCATACCAGGCATTCCTTTATGCATGTGTATTAAAAAGGAATGGTTGTTATGTGTAATTGATAATAAAAAGTGTTATAAGAATTTCACTTGAGTTTGTTCTGTTTGACTTTTTAAGTGTGTAGAGTCCTCTAAGGAATACTGAGGACTCGTGCCAATGAAATTAGCATTGGAGGAAAGAGTGTAAGGGGGGGTAGACCTGGCCAAGGAATGCTGCTTGGGAAGCTGAGGAGGCTGGAGGTAAGGGTTTGCTTGGGAGGAGAACAATAGTTCCTAGTTACAGGAAAGAGAACATCTGGCCCAGAGAAGGTGGGGTTTATAGAAGAAACCGGGCTCAGAGGCCCAGGGACTGCTGGGCAGACCCACCTCTTTGCTGGTGGTGGATTTTTCTGCACAAGCTCTCTTTCTCACCCTTCCGCCAGCCCCAGCTTTCCCCAACTCCAACCCTGACCTACAGACCAGAGTCTGATTTGGAGCCTGGAAAACAAAGCCATGTAAGGTCTGTGGAAATTGCTGCAGCCTGCTGAGACCGCCCCCCAACTCTGGTGTGCCCCTCCCCCCGCCCCACCCTGCCTGCCTCTCCTCTTCGGCAGCCTTCAGCCTAAGCAGCTGACTACCAGGAACTGCAGCCAGAGTCCCGGAGCCCCTGATCCAGCAGCCAAGAGAGCCCCTCATGCTTGCCTGAGAATATACAGATTCACACTGGTAGAATCCTGCCCCATCTCAAGGGACAATGAACCAGAAGACCACCCTGGTGCTCCTCGCTCTGGCCATCATCACCATCTTTGCCTTGGTTTGTGTCCTACTAGCTGGCAGGGGTGGAGATGGGACTGAACCTAGCCAACTTTCCCATTGCCCCTCTGTATCTCCAAGTGCCCAGCCCTGGACACACCCTGCCCAGAGCCAGCTGTTTGCAGACCTGAGCCCCGAAGAGCTGACAGCTGTGATGAGTTTTCTAGCCCAGAAGCTGGGGCCAGGGCTGGTGGATGCAGCCCAGGCTCGCCCCTCAGACAACTGTGTCTTCTCAGTGGAGCTGCAGCTGCC